CATGTGTTATCCCCAGGAGACACTTTCATTCTACTTAAAATCGATGTAATTTTCAACCCTCTTCGAGACTTGTATGCGAAAATGGGGCACCTAATCCTGTCACTATCTGACGGTCTATTATATATGATTATTTAACTGAATTATTTGAAATAATTTGTATTATTTCTATAAATCATTAAATCAATAAAAACACCTACTAGAAAATTCTTTGAAAACCGAATAATGTATTGTTTGAATAACATTTTGTTCAAAGAATTGTGTAAATTACTAGATTACTTTTCCATACAGTGTGTAACAGCCAAATGGAATAAATTTAGTCAATAATTATTACTGTGCATATTTATAAAAAAAAAACGAAAAACGTCAATTTTAGATTATACCTGTAACATGAATAATAATAATAATAATAATAATGAGAAAGTAAGCATAAACAATTTTAAAGGCAATATTAACAAAAAAAAAGTTATCAACATTCTTCATAGTTGGCACTCTTAATATCGATTAAACCGCCTTAACAACTTGCTGCGTGATTGTAACCGCATGACATGAAGGGCTGTCAGTGTTGTACGTGTCATTTGAACTTATTAACTACAGATCAGAAATATGATTAATGTATAGTAATAGCAGCACTATACTCCACTAGGCCAGATTTTTCCCAAGATCTGGGAAAAAAATTAAACCGGCAACACCGTAATGGCATTGCCTAAGACTATGACAAAGCTTCAAACTTCTTAAAATTCTAGAGCACTAGTCCATTTTTCCCATTTCTATAAAATCCAAGATGAAAACAATTACTCATTATATTACAAGATGTTGCTTAAAATTTTTATCTGAAATCTATTTGAAGGTTCTCTGAATACTACATGAATACTACTTGAATAAATTCTCAAGCTTTGTTATACGATTAGTCAATAGCATTACGGTGTAGTCGGTTTAATTTTTCCCCAGATCTGGGGAAAAATCATAAAATGCATAAAATAATTGTACAAATGATTGATTACGGTGATAAAACACGAACACGGATCAAAGTTGTTCGTCTATTTCAAGAAAAGTTTCCCGATTTGACGCCTATATCTTAAGGGTCAATTAGTAAAATTGAAAGACAATTTTGAAAGCTTGGACATGTAAGGAAGATAAAAAATACCAAATATCTTCGAATTATTTGAGTAATGATACAAAATTGGACGTAATGACGTAATGCTTGAATTCGAGTCGACAAGCAGCCGTAATATTAGAAATAAATTTGAAATTCACAGCATTTTTTAATAAAAAAAAATTAAGAGACCTTTTAAATGATATATCGATTATTTTTGATTAATCGATTAAACAGTTAATTGAAAAAAAATCGAAAAGAATATTCGTAAAATCGATTATTCTGCCACCACCAGTTCTGAATCAATTCAGGATTATTACCAAGAACGAAGCTATTAACTACACACAAACCCAAATTAAAAAACATTTGAATATGATTTAATTTAAATAAAATATAATACTTAATTATCTTTGAAAAATTAATTATCGATTTAAAAAAAAAAAAAATATTTGCTGCAACTGTCACTCGAAGGGGTTTGAAAGTAGAGGTGTAACTTTCACGTTGCAGGATGTCATTTTATAATATAAAATTGACGTATTTCGGATTTTTTTTATAAATATGCCCAGAATTGAGCTAATTAATTTATTCCATTTGGCTGTTACACAAGCAGGCATACCTTTACTTGGGAGGACAAACTGCGCATGCGCGGCGTATGTCACGTGTCATTTGTCATGTCAGCTGTCAATTGTCATCTGTCGACAGTTTAAAAGTGGCGGGGGTCTTCCCAAGTAAGAGTGTACCTGCTTACACACTTTATATTAAGTAATCAAAAATGGTTTAACCCGAGTTTGCACCGTAAAAATTAATAATTTGATATCAGAGATTCAATTGATATACTCGAATATTCATTAAACATTTAAAATCAATTATTGCGAACAAAAAAATATTATATTTAAAAAAAATAAAATGTATTTTGAATTTAATATGCATCAATCATTTTTATAGATTTGTTTAATCTTGATTAGAAGTGCACACAATTGTATTAATATTAACTTTTTGCATCATTGTCATTAAGTTTAATTGATTTTCTTGATTGTATTTGAAAATAAGTTTTCGTCTTATTTTTATTAATATAATCACTTTACAAATACGATTGTAGCATTTCAATAAAACTTATTTTCACCCATACTGTTTTATCTTGTCTCATACAAATGAACAACACTGGTCCCATTTTTTTAAGTTCATCGCACAATACATAAATTAGAAAAGCAAAAGTAAACCGAAAATGCAAAACTGCTAAAACTTAGAAATCTATTTCATGTATTTTGTAACTGTTTTATTATATCAGTGCCTACATTTAAATATGTATATATTAACATAAATTAAAAACTCAAAGATTACGGTATATCACATAAAAATTGTAATTATTATTTACATTTTTACACATTTGATTAAGAAATAGGTAAATGAGGATAGAGAAGGGTTTAAAGTAATGAAATTAGCCAAACTTATTGTCAAATGGGTCAAATTACTAATAATAATATTATTATTTACAAAAAAATTGACATTCTTAAAAACTGCGGCTGTGATTAATTTTTTTTAACAATTTCGTTTCAGAGTCAGAAATAACATCAAAATGTATAAAATTATGTATTAATATCGTTTTTCATGAAATAACTCGTTTTCTCTTGATAGTATAATAAAAATGGTATGTAAAATAATAGGTAATTAAATATGAAAAGGGTTATAAGATAATATTGGGCCTTTTATTTATGGAGAAATGCTTAGGCAGTTCCAGGCAGATACTGAAACCTGGCCACTCCACCTAGAAGGACGACATAAACCTAAGGTAAGGTCTTTCTTGTACCAACCTACTTTGACCGAAAAATTTGCGGAATCATGAACAATATTTTGAATATAGTAGTTAAGTATGTACATGTACACATGTACTCCAGATTCTTAAACCTAAACATAAAATGGGTTGTGAGCAATAGTGCCAGTGTAATTCAAACATAGCTAACGGGGATCAGAAACAATATCACTGGATGGAACATGCTCATTTATACAGATAGCAGACAAGCACTTCTAACCCTGAACAGACCACGAATTTAGTTAGTACTAGAATGTCACGAAGCTTTAGCCGAAGTATCCATTAACGATGTGGTCACCTTAAGTTGGATCAAAAGTCACGCCATATCAAAAGATAACCGTCTTGCTGATTCACTAGCCAAGAAAGCAGTCAACCAAATACTTTTTGGACCTGGCCCTTCTATTGGCCTGACAAAATCGGTAGTGACAGACCTAATTAAAGAACGTTCCCTTGTGAAATTCAAGGAAAGATGGGATGAAACAAGAAACTGCAGTGTTGCCAGGGAGCTCTTAAGTTATCCTGTCAACACTGAAGCAATAAATATTTGACTATGACTAGACAGAATCTGCGTCTAGTCACAAGGCATTCTGACTGGTCATTGCCACGTACGGAAGCATCTCCATATCATGGGGCTGTCAGAGAAGCACCTCTTGGCGCCGTTGTCAACTACATTAAATCTGTAGGCTGGCTCATGAGCTAGGAGGTGCCTATCATCTTAGGAGGATGCACAATGGGCCTAGTGAGGCCTAAGTAGCGTGGGGGTAACCCTCCCTCCACACGTTACAGATACAGAGATGTACATGTACACAGAATGAGCAAATAACTTCCAAAGATATTTAATGGTGATTTTTGGTGTCCATTCTAAAAAATTAGATATTTCTAATTTCAACACCCTGTATTTCAAAATGTAGTCATTGGATATAATTTAGCCGATGGATACTTTTGATGGGGACATCAAATATTCAGACAATTTGACGGTACTACCGTTGGCATAAGGAAAGTGCGTGGTCCTTTAAAAGGTGGGTTTTAACTCACTATAAGCAAAACTGACTTTTCGAATATTCGTTATTATAAAACGATGTTTAATTACCTTATTAATATTTAACTGGATTAAGATATTTATTATTAATCGATTAATATAAGATTAAAAATTAATTAAATAATATCGATACATCAATTAATCTAATAATTATCCGCTTATTCGGAAATAATCAATTAACTACTAATCGAAAATGGATTTTCTGAATAATTATTTGAAAATAATAGATATCTCGATTAATGGAAAACACTCGATTAAACGAAAATAATAGCTTAATATAATCGATTAAATTGGATAATCGATAATAATCGATTAATCTAAAATAATATGCATGATAATTCGATATTATAAAACGATCTTTTAATTACTTTATTAATGTCGATAAATTAATATGTATGAGATTAAAAATCAATTAAATAATATCGAAAACCAATTAAATAATATCGATAAATCAATTAAATGATATCGATTATTGGGAAATAATCAATTTAACGATTAATCGAAAATATGGATTTTCTGAATAATTATTAAAAAATATCTGAAAACGATTGCTAAAAACAATAGTGGTGAAACCCGGAAAATGACAGTTTTAAGTCCACCAAACCACACCCAAATAGGTTCTCTGTTACGCGCTAGAGAGATAAAAAGCTATCTTCCTTCCTTACTCGTAGATGGCAGTGTATGTCATTGTAGTTGTTATTACACTTAACAGTTTTAGCAACATTTTAAACGCGATTGTCTCAAAATTGCGATTTTTAAGTTTCCCCACTTATAGTTACCAGTAGGCCATATAGGTAATAATCGAAAATAATCGATTAATTGGATAATCGAATATAACCGATTAATCGGATAATCGAATATAACCGATTAATCGGATAATCGAAAATAATCGATTAATAAAAAAATCGATTAAATAAAAATAATCGATTAAATAAAAATAATCGATTAAACGAAAATAATCGATTATTTTTAATTATTCTTTATTTTGTTCTCAAATCAATCATTTTAGAGTTATAATTGATTAAAGGTGAAAAATATCTTCTTAATATCGATATTATTATAAGATTACGAAAAGAGCTGATAATTTTGTTCACTTTTCGCGCCAATTTTGATAGAGAAATTAATTATCTTCAATTTAGTATACCATTATTTTGACTGTTCAATGTTACTTCTGACCCAGAAACGAAATTAAAAAGAAAAAATGTTGCCACCAATTTCTTGCTTGGACTATTTTTCCATATTTAAACATATCTATGTAACTGGGATATTGTATATTTGTAAATAAAATATAATAAAGCTTCACTGGATCTAATAAATAAATAAAAATATTTAAAACTTACTATTATAGACAAAAAATGTCGGAATAAATAAAATCGCGTAAAAATATACATTAACGAAAACATCAAAAAATTCCTCGTATTTCCTAGATTTTCATTTTACTTAAATTTTTCACCTTTATGCATTTCCGCGTACGTTGGAAATTTGGCCGTTTCGACCTTATCCTTAACCTTAAAACTGGGATAGAGAGCTATTTGATTCGTCCGGAGATTCCTACCTTTACTGAAACCGTTCCAGTGATTACCTGCCACTCCTATTATATCGCCGGCATTGACAGTCATCTCACCTTTTTTGCTAGGCTCGTGTGGCAGTACCGCAATCATGTTGTGTGCATTCTGACCACCATAATAATAAATGTCATCCAGTGAGCGATACCTATGAGACGCATCGGGATAAAAGTTTTGCATAATTTCATATGCAACTCTGCAAACCTGGGATGAAAAAGTGCACACTAAGTAATCGCTCATAGATAACATATGAATGTCACTGATGATACCAAACAGCGATGTATCCGAGTATCTTGTAGATACAGCCGCTGTTTTCGCCACACTCGGATCACCAATAATCTCATAGGCAGGATACAACTTTTTAGCTTCTTGAAAAACTTTAGGATCATCCGACGCTAAATATATTCTCCTCTTATTAACCACTTGTTTAGTCTCCAGATAATCGAAATATTGATCTACGTGCAACATATATTCCTCTAATCTATGAAAAGCAGCTTCCGTGCCTACTTTATCAGTCCTACGAATATGTACACCCACTATAGGTCTCTTAAAACCTATTTTGTCTATAGTTTCTTGTAACAAGTTAGAAGTCTTTTCTTGAGGTCTTAAAAGGTATTTCAAAATTTGTCCCACCCACCAAACAATAGGATCGCCATGCAACCTTATCAGTCTAGGAGCTAAATCTTCAGGTATAGCAAGAGGCAAAAATGGCGGTCTTGGGGTCAAAGAGTCTATTATTGGAAGATTAATAACTTGTGTTTCCGGATTACCAGGCCAGCCGGCAATAGATTGTCCATTCGGACTCAAACATGTATCACTTACAGGTTTGAAAATCTCCTCCCAACCGGCTTTGTGATACCGCCAACCTTTCGATTTCAAAATTAAAGTTCTTTTCGTACCATAAGCTACCATGAAGCAATAAACAACATGATGAAGTTGGCACCCGTACCCACAACCTTTATTTAAATTACATACTAATTTCCGAGCAGTGTCACAATTTTCAGGATTTTGTAAATACTTAAATCTGTCCATTACTAATGTACTCAAGTCATTAGATTCTTTTTGTCTCCAATTGGCATACCCATCTACTTCTGCTAACTGTTCAATATCATGTAGTAAAGACTTTTTATGTTCATTACCCATATTTATTAAGAAATTTATTGATTCTAGAATTTCTGGTGCAACCTAAAATAAATGAATGACCGATTAAATTCAATAATTCGTTATGCACCACTGACTTCAAAATCTCGGCTTTACGAGCAGTGGCTAGACAGAAATTTTACAGTTTTTACCAGGGCTGCCGATGATAGGTAAACTTTAGGTTAGAATGATTATAACAGTAGATGTGATTGAGTAAAGTAGAATTCAAAAATACTATTCCGAGTTTCACCACTTCTCTCTCCTCTCTTTCTTCCAAGTAGTAATTGAGATTAGCTGCATTCAATGAGACATAGCGATCCCAACCGATACCAATCACGTTCGTTCTACGATAGGTATCGCTTCGTATCATTTTGGAGCGTTTAATTTTTACGCTCCTTTCTGCTGCGATCGCGAAATTTGAGCGGGAAAGCTCATAAAAACAACCAAAAATAACCTAAAACTCCTAAAATCTATCGCCATTCGCGATTTCTTCAGAAATATATCTTTAACAACTTGGTTGTGCTTTACATAGTGATAAAAATTATAAAAAAAATACCTAAATATAAAAATTATTGTACATTGTTGGTCAAAACTCCAAGTGACAAATAAACAAGTTCACTTTCAATTGCAAATGTAACTTTTCATTAACCTAGAATTGTCGTTCGACACAAATTTAATTTATTCAAATTGAACGTATGGAGCGTACCGTTCATCAAGCTGATCCTGCTACCCTAATCGCAGCAAGAATTCGATACACTCATAGAACGCAGCTGTTGCTCTTTTTTAATATCTCTCTTTCTTGCAATGATACTGAAATATTGTCTTATTAGACTGGCCGGTCAGATTTTTTGCAACTTTTTTTTTAATAAATGCATCTTTTAAGTCAGTGATTCTCAACCACTGTGCCGCGGTACTTTCGTGTGCCACGAAATTCTAAAAGTGTGCCGCCAAATTTTAGATATTGTTAGAGTCAGCGAATTAGGATATCGCCGCCACTGGGTCGACGATACCACGTCTGCCCGTTGCAGAGTCTGTTACAGCCGTATGCATAGTCGATCGCCAGCGACTCGCCAGAGATTCATTTCGGCGTATCGCCAGCGATTCGCTGACGATCCGCCGGCGAAAGCCCAAAAAGCTGGCGACTCGCCGGAGATTGTCACCGGAATGTCATTTCACGCAAGTTTTCATGTTCTTTTATAGGGAAAAATTTGATATTAGTTCATTATTTTTTTAAGAAATGAATCATGAATAAAATGCGAGAGATACCGGTGATAATTTCTATAATCGACTATGCATACGGCTGTTAGAATCAGCGAATTAGGATGTCGCCGCCACTGGGGTCGACAATACTACGTCTACCCTTCCTCCATGGTCTACCCGTTTCAGTGTCCAGGACCAGGAGAGAGCGCCGAGAGCGGGGACTTGACGTTCGACCAGCCGAACGATATGAAGTGATAGGCAATATGCCGTTAAAGACATTCTTTATTTTGTTCCTTAATTAATTACATTTCAAACATGGTTTACGATATATTCAATAAAACGTTATAAAACCATAACGTGTTAACAACACGTGTTTTATGGAGTGGCTATACAGGGTGTTATAGTATACAGGGTGCTAAATCATTTAAAAACAATAATTTTGAAGTTGATTCTTTTAACTTCTAACAATTATAGTAATGTTAATATTATTAAATAATATGATTTAAAAAGAAAAATACTTTTAACGGGAATAGATATTTAAACAAATATGTTTTTTATATTATTTCATTATTTGTTTTGCAACGCGTTCTTTCTTAGTGCCGGATTATAATGAAGCAGCGAGCATAGCGTTTTATTCAAACCAATAGGAATAAATGCATGCATTTATAGTAAGACGTTTTACATAGCTGTGAAGAGAGCGTTGCTGCAGCGGTATAGCCCGAATCAAACATATTTGTTTCGGAAGCGGTGACTAACGAGGTTTAATAGGCGGTCGAGCTATTTATTATTTATTCACTGCATACACAGTAGGGTGCATCGTATTGCATATAAGGAAAATGATTTTTTTACCTTTTAAAAATGTAATACCTGTCGAAAGCTGGCCTTTTCAAAAAAAATTCCAAAAATATTTTTTAAATTACAAACAAAAATGTCGTTCCACCCCCGCCAACCCACCAAAATAAAAAATGTAAATAAGAAAATTAATAGTGATCAAAATGTTGCTATTGTTTAGCAATACATTTAAAAAACTTCCATACCCGCAACACCCTTAAAAGTCAAAATATCGATTTTTAAAATCTAATACCTTACAAAATATCAAAAAATATATATGTATCATTTTTGTTATTTGACATTTTTCTCTGCGATATTATCTTCCAGTCCCGCCGATAATATTTAACTAGGCTTGCATCCGCGCTTATAAAATACAATTTTATGGAACACAGCTCAAAGACTCGTCACTTCACGTGGCTGGTAAAGTGGTGGGATAGTGAAAATATTGGGAAGCAATTAAGTAAAATGTAAAAAAAAAAACAATATTAGCAGAGACAATCCAGCGAGACGTGTAACTCAATGTATTTTTTTTGTTCGGTAAAAGTTATTTGGGCGATTGTAATCACAACCAGTCTATGATGGCGCCACTAGTAAATAGCGGGAAAATTAAAAATGCTTTAGGGCGGGAAATTCAAACATGGATTCAGAAATAAAGTTTTTCTATATAAATTTACAGGAGAAACAAAAACTATTGTTTCACTGTATATTAAAAAAATATAAAAGCTTCCAATAACATCAAATTTTTTATCACATAAATAATCATTTTAATAAAGGAAGTTTTAATCAGTTTAATATAAACAGTGAACATAGTTTTCATTACTCTTGTAAATTTCGCTAAAAAAAAACTTGAAAATTCTATTGATTAGTAAATATTTAAACTTGGAAAAATAATACACCGAACTCTTTTTCTATAAATTATATTTTTGTAAGGTACATAAAAACAAACTACAATTGCTTCGTTTAGAAAGTACCTCCTATCATTTTGTGACAAATTACAAAGAAAGTAACAGTTGTTATATATTCATAATATATTTAAAAACTAATGTAACAAATATTTTATAAAGTATAGTATCGATACCTTTTTGCCAGACTATCATAAGTGCCATTTGAACAAATGTCACTTATGTTAGTCTGGCAAAAAGGTATGGATATGTTATGACTGTTTATTTTAATAGAAACCATGGAAACGAAACACACATACACTCAACACAAATGTATAAGGCCCGAGTCAAGTAAGTTCCCATCCTGTAAACTGGATCGAAACCTGCTAGACCCCTGCTAACTCCTCTTATAGTAATCAAGATCAATATATTTATATGCCATGCCTTCTAAAAGGGAATGAAGGATGACATACTATCATCATTTAAACAGGACGTTGCTGAAGGCTTACCCCTGTTATTTCGTTTGTTTGTGTATCTTGTGTGTGTGCATTCCTGTTGTGTCCCCAGTCATGTAAAAGTTTTCCTAGTCTCCTAATTTGGTTACTAGGTGGACCTTCTCCAACTAGTAGTCTAATCTATTCGATCTGTTCGGAAGCAGGAGGTACTTTTCAAACATAGCAAATAATATTATTAATAATAAACACTATTTAAAGATAAATACATTTTTGTAATTTTTTTGTCATTGCCCCTTACCTTTCTCTTACACCACCAGGGGATACCTATTTTCCATATTCCCTTAATTATAGATTACCTTACAATGTTCGAATGAATATAACATTTTACTCATGAAAAATCTAATTTCATATTTAACTCTTTTTCAATTTCATTTGAAACAATAATTGGTACCTATATTACAATTTATTATCAAAGAAAATTTCTAATAAAGTTATAGCAAATCCTACTTAAACTACTGGTTGTTCTGCAGGATAAATTAACTTTTCTTGAGATTGATCTCTCTATAAAATCCAAAACCGACCTGATGTTCCCAAATTTATTTTCCAATGCATCCTGATTTAAAATTCTGCCCTTTTGTGATTCAATTTTTTTTTCTTCCTTTAGAGTGGCTGTTAGAGGTAGGTGTATGTAAGAAATAGCTAATCTCTAATCATTTCAAAAGTCCTTTGCCAATACTACATGTGCAGATTTTTTACTCAGCATACATTTTACTTTTCTAGTAGATAGGAACTTTGTGCTGCCATTAAAGCTGTCCAGATATTCATCTACCTACTTAATGAACACAAGTAGCTGTAACAATGGATCTCTGTTCCAATTCACCTAAAATAATTATAGTCATTGTGTAATATATTATTAAACACACACATTATACAGTGGTTTTCTTAATAAATTGGAAATTACTTACCTCTAGAAAGAAATGTGTACAAAAACGCGAGTTTGGTTCCAGAAATTGCTTCATGCAAAAAATAATATGCAAAAATAAACATTCTCCCCCAAAGAAAATTAATTAAACAACATAATCAGACTAAAAGAAATATACGGGGCCCAAATTAAATTAATTTTAATAAAATGCACATGTTCATAACAACAGTCATAACATTGTCAGTTGTCAGTTTTAATACTTTTAATCGATATTTCTACGACAAAAAACCAGCAACACCAGCGCCCTCTGAAAATGGTGTTAGTTTTATTGGAGAGAGATAGACATATGTAAAGATCAATGTAAAAGAAAAAGAGGGTCATATATGTAATTTAAATGGACCACCGAACATATTTTCCTATTAAGTTACACGTCTCTGTTGTCTCTGATACTGTTCGTTTAAAATGTCTTCGGTAACTACACGCGGCGTTGTAAAAACATGTCCAATTTTTGGTAAACCCGCAGAATTGAGTCAAAACAAGTTGCCAAAAATAGATGAGTGCATCAAATACTTTTTATTAATTCAGTACAGCCTAGAACAACAAAACTTAAATAAAAACTCTATAAATTCTCGAGCTTTTGCGATTGTAGCAAGTAAAATGGAGAATATTTGAAGCCGAGCGTCTATTCCTATCGTATCTAGAGCAATACTTATATTTTTGCTTAAGCAATACCAAAACCGAAGGCTAGCTCTACTAAAGTCTTTTAAGCGGGATTCACAAAAGCAATCTTTTTAAATAAAACTTGAAGAATTTAAAAACTCTACTAAACATTTGCTTGATATTGCTATTTGCAAATGTGATGACTATTTTAAATGTCGCTGTGACAAAAATTGCAAGGTAAGTTGTGCTAATTCTTAATAAAACTTATAAATAGAGGTTTTTGTTTTTGAGTTTTAATCTTAAAAGATAATTATATTAATTTAATTTAAAATATGAATTACTTTTTGATTTTTCAGTATAAAGCGTTTTTTTTTAACAATATAATTAACATTTTAAAATATGCTAGAATGCTTAATTTTTTACAGATACCTTCCTTGGAACGCGATTTCATTCGGGACCAAAGGACGTGTCGCAAAATGCAGATGGCGGGAGTTGACAGAAATTATAGCAAAAAATTGGAAAAGCGCAAACAAAAAGAATGCCGCAAAAAGTGTTTCTCTGGGTCAAGTGAACTTTTCCACGAAAAGAAGAATGAAGCACTCCAGGATCCATTGGACATACAAAGTGATGAAACTTCTAAAAGTATGTGTTTTCGAGAACCTGATGCAGGTCCATCTAATCAAGCTATTACTACAGACATTAAAAAAAGAAATTTTTAAAGATTGACAATTTACCCAGAATATTAGATTGATACAAAGTGTCTGATAGAGTAGGTGCAGCAATTGCCTGTGCTACTCTGGTTGATACAGGTCTAGTTAAATCCTATCAATCCAAAGTCATAGTCCAAAACAAGATAAGAGCGAGAACCAAGAAAAGAAGTGAACTACAATCCAACACACCAATCCAGTCAATTCATGGATTTATATTTTGATGGCCGTAAAAATAAGACTGTGGCAATTTCTCTGGATTTAAAACGCCGAACATCTAGTGTAGAAGAGCACACCGTTCTAATCGAAGAACCGAGATCTTCCTATCTAGGACACGTTTCGCCTGTGAGTTCCAGTGCTGAAAATATTTTTAGAAGCATTATAGACGTTTTTTGAAACTTCGTCAATATCTTTAGAAAACGTAGTGGCAGTTGGTTGTGATGAAACCATTACAAAAACAGAGCACAAAAGTGGAATTATTGTACGTTTAGAGCAGCACATTAAAGCTCCTGTTCATTGGATCATTTGCAAACGAACTGCGGTTGCGTCATTTAATTCAGCACTTAGATGGCAATACAACACGGCTTAATATGTTGTCGGGAGTAATTGGTAAGGCACTTCAAAGTTGCGAAAACCTTCTTAGAGCTAAGTTTAAAACAATAAATGTTGTTCTGCCAGAGATTTCCAGGGAAATTTTAAGCACAGATAAGTTATACCTTTATGATATTTGCAAGTTTGTCTCAACCGGTATTTGTGACGACAGATTTCTGAACAGACAACCAGGAAAGTTGGTTCACTCCTGATGGCTTACCACCGCAAATCGTATCCTAAGACTCTATGTGTCGACTCAGGATCCGTCAGATAATCTAAAAATTTTGGCAGAGTTTGTTGCAAAAGTTTATTTTCCGATGTGGTTTGCAGTAAAAACCAAACCATCCTGTGTTTATGGTTCAAAACATCTCTTTGACACTATTAAGCGTTCAAGGTATTTGCCACTTGAGCTGAAAAATTTAATCGACCCCGTTATCCAGAGAAATGGTTATTTTGGCCACCCGGAGAATATGCTGTTGACAATGTTGACTGATGAACGATAAACTATCCGTGAGCTGGCAGTTAGGCGAATTATTAAAATTAGAAATCAAACGGATCTTCACACAGAAGTTCGAGCATTCATTTTACCCAAATTTAACTTTGATGCCGAAGACTATTGTGACCTTCAAACTTGGCAGGAATTTCCTTTCACTGAACCATCTTTTTTAAAACAAGTATCTGAAGACGATTTGCAAGAAATTGTCAAAGACTACTCCAATTCTTTGGTCATTACGGAAATAATGCAGTTCTCTTGTCACACTCAAGCTGTAGAAAGGGCAGTTAAACTTGTGACAGAGTCTTCTTTATTAGTGACTGATCCAATAAGGCGCGATGGAGTCATTAGAAACATCACTTTTTCCAGGGAAGTGATGCCAAAGTTTAATACAAAAAAAGATTTTTTTCCTACCAACTAGGTATAAAAACTTTTAATATATTATAAGATTGTAAGTTATTTTTTAAACCTTTTTTTCGGCAATAAAAAAGTAATAAAACCACTTTTATCATGTTATATCAATTTGGTCTCTAAAAATTTTTTTGTATGCCTTGCCGAAGTGGAAAGAAAAATTGTAAAGAAAAAAAATTTTGGGGGTGGGTGGCTCAGTGGTAGAGCCTCTGCCTATGGATCCAAGGGTCCCAGGTTCGAATCCCACCGTTGGCCGGAATTTTTTCATTTAATTTAATTATTTAAAATTAATTCTGATGCTTTGGTAGGATTCCCCACTCGACCATTCACTGTTGGGTTCTAATTAACAGTGCTGTTCCTGAAGTGGCGCTGGGAAACAGTAACAAAGCCTACACAGAACACGATGCGAAATAACCTTAGCAGTTGAAGCCGATGACAAAAAAAAACAGTGGTAAACTGAACAGAAACTAAAATGATTACACCCTATTACGTTTTTAAAATCAAAACAAAATATATTAAGGGGTTGCGGGGGTGGAAAATTTTGCACAATTTTTTTTTATTTTTATTTTTAGTTATCAGGTTCTAAAATCCCTTGTTTTGAGACCTGTTGCATTTCTTTAAGTAAAATTTAATATTAACGATGCACCCTAATACACAGCTTTGTACACCGCTCTGCTCGCCGCCGTACTATAATCCTGGCCTTAGAACCATAAACTGATTTTTATGCCTCAAGTCGGCTCACACTTGTCACTAGTACGTACAAAAAAAATAAGTATTAATGACAGTGGGGATTCCCAACACTTTGCATAGTAATTACTGCACATTTTCTTTCGTTAAAATTGGCAAATGTATGTGATTCAGTTTAATATTAATTTATTTGCTTGCAGTATCAAATTATAAAATTATGTAAACATATTGGCTTTGCAGTATTGTATTTTCAAACTTGAATAAATTGTATTTAAAGGTAATATTTGATTCGCCTTTTTTATTAATGTTTCGACAATATTATTTTTAACAGCGCCTTCTGAAAATTGATAAATGGTTAAAAAGAAAAAAGCTTAACGATGATAATAGTGATAATGATAACGTTAGCGACCAAGATAATGAGCCCACATCCGGTACAAGTAAAAATACTTCTTGCTCAAAAAAACACGCTGTTCACCGGAAATAGAATGATGAATTTTTGAATGGAAAATGGCAAAGTTGTTCCCGAGTGTGTGATATGTGGTTGTAAATTATCAAATAGTGCTATGGTTCTGAACAAACTCCAACGTCACTTGGTGACTAATCATCCTTTGCTTTCAACAAAAAATAAAAGCTATTTTCAAAAGTCTTTATCTTCAAAATTCAAGCAAGTAAAAGTTTTTGAAAAACAAATCGGTGTGTCTGAAAAGGCTCAGTAGCTTCTTACACAATAGCTGAATTGATTGTTGTTAAATTAAAACCTCACAATTTGGTTGAAGAAATTATATTACCTACTTGTTGCAAAATTGTAAAAATAATGAATAGTGGATCAGCAGATATTGATATTTGTAAAATACCACTTTCGAATGACACAATCCATCGCAGAATTATAGATATGTCGCAAAATATTGAGTAAAAAAGTGCAACAACTCTTGCAAATTCAAATTTTGCTCCACAAATCGACGAAACAACAGATATTACAGGAAAATCTCAATTAATTGTATTCGTTAGATTTATTCATGAAAATGATATAGTTAATCAATTTTTATGTCAGGAGCTACCTGATTTTACAACTGGCAAACATATTTTTAATGTAATTAGTTCATATTTAGAAGAAATTAAAGTTTCGTGGAAGTCATTTATTGGCATTTGGACATCTAAAAGGATTTGTAGCAGATGTTAATTTAGTAAATTATGCCAAAAGCCAAGTACGAATCCTTGTTACATACAAAAGTAAGGTGGTTGTCTAGAGGAAAAGTTTTATCTCGTGTGCTGGAAAACCCAAACAGACGATTGGCGTTTATTTTCAGGTTCATATGAGTAAATCCATGATTCATCACCACTTGTGATGCAATACACGTTTTTAGAGTTTCCAGCGTTGAAGCGCTCCAGAGTTTTTTGACACCAATTTACCCTAGCTTCTTTTTGTTCTTCGGTCAACAGATGCGGTATCCAACGGGACACTAATTTTTTTACTCCCAATTCTTTATGCAAAATCTTTTGGATTGAGGTCTTTGAAATCCCTAACGATGCTTCAATCTCACGATATGTCAATGGTTTCCTGGGTGACTACCGATTTAGGTGCACCTGTTTTTGGCTCGTCTCTAAGATTAACCCGGCCTCGTGTAAATTCTCCATACCAACGAGAAATTGTCGATTGATGTGGTGCATCACTACCGAAAACGGAAACCAACTCGGCGAGGATTTCTTGTTGAGATAATTGTCTTCGAAAGTTGTAAAAAATTATGGCACGTAAATGTTCTTGGTTTAAATCCATTTCTTGAATAACTTGTCAACTTTGAAAATTCGGTGTAACTACAACACTCTATGAATCGGATTGAAACTTGGAAGTGAGGTTAACTAAAGGCAACAGTTTATTTTTATTAGAGCCGTTTGATTCGTAACGCCCTCTAATGCATGGTATGCAAAACTTAAAAGACAGCCCTCTTAAAAGAATAAATCAATGTTTTCTTGTTAAAATAAACACCATTATTAATTATAATTGAAAATTCCGATGTGTTGTTATAGTCCGTTGGCTATGACATGATAAAAACCTATAATAATCATAACTTAAAAGATGCATACATTAAAAAATTATTGCAAAAAATCTGTCATTACTTGGAATATTATTTTTGAATTGAACTATACTAAAATAAAACGATATCCTGCTAAATTATTAAGAAATATCTTAATGCAAATGAAAGAATGAACTTTAATAAACATCCACTAAAATTCAAAATTAATTTTTCTATAAAGGAAATGAACCATTAAAATAAAATTAAGCACCTAATAAACACAACACACTATACGCTACACAATATAATTTTTAACAAAATATAATCAAATTGACCACAAGTGGATGGGTATTTATTTAAAAAATATACGACTTCAATTTTGTACTTTTCAGTTATGTGTATGGTGTGCCTATATATTTATTCAAAAAGCTATTAGTGACCTACATAGTTATCTGCTTTGAAATAGAACAGGGACCCTATCCTCGACAATCGTTAAAAAACGAACCGTTTTCGAAAGTGAGTGGTTGAAAAGCGAGTAGTTTTTGAATTCTATATTCTTGACTGGCGTTCGAATAAGCATTCGTTTTTTAGAACGTGTACGTTTTTAACAAGCAAATAATATGGCTGGCATCACTGTAAACTGTATATCGTTGAATTCAAGTAATGTGCAAACCATAAAATAAGGATTATGTAAAACTAATTGTAAATTTATCAAATGATGATTTTTTCTAATCACATAATATATAAATGTCAAGATAAACTGAATCGTTAATTTTTGGCGGAAAAATTAGCTATACGGGTGTAGTCAATGCAACCGATAATTCCAGGAAAATCGTACATCATAAAAACCTAGTTTTTATAGTACAAAATTAATTTAAATAATAACTTTTCAGATTCAGATTTTTAATGTTTTGTAGCAATTTTAAAAAATTGTTAAAATTTCTGGACACGTGTGATACAGAAGAACTTTGAACTACTATTACAAGAAATCGCAATCAAATTAATATCTGTAAATAAAATATACATGAATTAATAATTAAATTCTTACACGGTAAGATGTAAAAAATTTCATTCAATATCCATTTCATTCAAAAAATGGATTCTGCCTCTGCATATCTGAATCTTTGAGAATTCTAATCTTCTAAGTTTTCTAATTGTACAATTAATAATAACTGGAAGAAATTCTCAGCTATTAGACGTTTTTAGCACTGCAAACCATATTTACAAGAAATTAGATTCTTTTATAGGTATTAATAAAAAGTAGTTTGCCTAGAATTTGTTAAAATCAATCAATATTATTAATCCTCCTAAAAGTGACATATAAGTGACATTGGCTAAATACTTGAAAACATGCTCGTTTTATCAAAAACGTGTGAAAAATTCCGCTCGCTGTAT